CTTCTCTTGTTTGAACATCTTCTTCTTCTCTCTCTTCAATCTGTGATAGTACTCACGCGCCTTGATAATCTGCAGAATCACAGAATATTTGAAGAGAGATGATATAATTGATTTCAGTGAGTGTTGAAGAGAGATGAAGATAGAAGAGATGATCAGAAATGATATAATAATAATAATAATAATAATAATGATGATGATAGTAATAATAATAGTAATAGTGATGATAATAATGATGATAATAGTAATAATGATAATGATAGTGATGATGATAATGATAATAATAACAATGATAATGATAATGAAAGAGAGAGTGCATTGAAATATATTACTGACTTATCAAATATAAAGAGACTCAAAGAAAATATTAACAGCTTTCAGTGATGTACAGAAACAGCTACAGTGTTACATAGAAATATTATCTTCATTTAATACATACACTGTTGATATTCTTTGTATGCAGTTATTATATAATCTGTATCAGAGATACATGCAGAAAACAGATCTTTATTGCTAGAGTAAATAATTACAGCAATTCTCTGTTTTTATATTATAAAGATAAGTTATTCTTATTTCTTTCTTCTCTCTTTTCTCTTCTTTAATCAATCACTAATTTAAAGCTAGTATGAAAACTATCAAAACACTCTCAGAAACTCTTAAATTAAAGAGTATAGACTAATCAAATTTTAAATGCAGAAGAAATCAAATTATCTTCTACAGATTCAATTACTCACTTTTCTCTTAAATAAAACAGCAGTTACATCCTCTCCTCCTCTCAATCAAATGAAACATGGCCCGCGAAAAGCGAGTACCATATCAGACTATAATGGCCAACACAGTCTCACTATGCAGAGCTGCATATACACAGCACATGCTGAACTGAGAGGCTGTGTGAGTTGCAAATCAGCAGCAGCATCTCAGAGAGAGTCATGCAGTGTTATTATTATTATTATTATTATTCTTTAATTATAGATGTATGCAGTCAGAGACTATGACATCTACCTGAGAACATTTAGTTCTCAGGGTTTTTCCTATATCTGTAAAGTTAACTATTATACATTCATCAATTTCAGATATACAAAATCAGAAAATTCCAGCTCAGAATACAAAAACTGTTTACAAATTGCAGTGTTTTAACATCTTCTGATACTTTGAAATCATTTGACAATATCATAACAAAGGAAAAGAGAACACAGTCTTAAAGATAGACACATTAAATAGATAGATAGAAAGAAATTAAAAGAAAAAGATAAAGTAAAGAAAGACTGTAATAAAATAAATTATTAAAAGATAGTATATAGCTGTTTTAACAGACTATATCTGATTGATTTCCTTCTCTTCATATTCAGATAATTCTGAATTTAGTCATTTTCTTATAGCTGCTTGAGTTTCTGATAGAAAGTCTATTAAATATTTAATTTCTGTCTCAGTTGAGAACAAGAATCTCATATTTAATTGATTTAGATCATACTTCTCTTTTAATCTGACTCTGAGACTATTGTATAATGCACAGTGTATTACAATATACTCAGAATTCTTATTTGCATTGCAGAATAAGTATTCTATTGAGTCAAATCTATCATCAAATCTTTGTATATAAGATTTAAAATAGTCATGTTCTAGTTTCAGCTGTATTATAGATGAGAATATTTTCTTTTTACATTTAATTGAATAAGATTTTCACTTAGGTTTTATTTCAAATCTTGAATAATGTATACTCTTCTTTTATTTCTGCCAGCTTTTATTTCACTTATCTAAATAAGATTCTTCTATTTTTCTCTTTATAAAAGATCAGAATATAACTTTTTGAATAGATCTGCTTAATTCTGCACTCTTTTTTACAGCTGAATCAGTCAATTCATTATCATGAATATTCATATAAGCAGAAACCCAGTGTAAATGAATTATCAGCTTTGATATTTATCTCTTTTGAATTTTCAAAACAGAGTTTAAGATCAGTTCAAGATTCATTTGATTATTATAAATCTGACTATTTCTAAGTCTTTTTAAAGCAGCTTGACTATTAGAGAATATTCATGTCTCTTTCAAACTATTTTCTCTTTTATAAGATTTTATTTCTATGAGTTTGAAAGCTTTCACTATTATAAATAGTTCAGTATCAAAGACTTCAGATTCACAGTTTAGATTTCAGAAATCTGAGATAAAATTGATATTATCTTCAGTATAAGCAATGTCTATATCTAATCTATTCAGATTCTCATTCTTTGAGTCATCTGAATAATTCAGAATAGAGTCTTTTATATTAATTGTAGAAATTCTCTTCAAATACTGTTCATATTCTTTCTCTTTTAATAGTTCACTTATTTATAAGTCTATAAGAGATTCAAGCTTTTCTCTTCAGAGAGATAACTTCTCATGATTCGCTTTTTCAATATTTAAAGAAGAAAATTGATTTTTAATCAGAGAGTATAGTCTGTAAAGTTGAGAAGATATTTTTTTTAAAGAATTATTTTCATTTCAATCAAGAAATCTATTTCAATTCAGTTCATTTTCAGAGTTAATTAATAGAAATGAAGATGAGACTCTTTCTCTGATTATATAATTTGAGCTCATCTTTATAACTCTCAGAGCATAGTTTATACAGGTCTTTTCAAATCTAATAGCAGAAGAAGAAATTGAAGCTTCAATTTTCATTGCTTTAATAGAAGATGATTTGAATGCTCTCAGAATTCTTCTCAAGACTCTGTTTTACAGACTTTGAAAGAGTTCAGTGAAATTCTCTTGATTATTTCATCAAACTTGAACTTCATAATCAGCTACTGATGTAATACAGGCTATATATAACTGTTTCATAGTCTGGAAGAATAGACCTCTCTCTGTACTACAGATGCTAGCCATTCACAGAATGCATCTTAAGCTAATTACATTTAACCCTCTATAATTAACTGATCATCACATCTGTCCTCTCAGGCCAGTCACTAATTTTCAGAGATGTTAGTTAGTGACTGTCATCACTCACTTGATAACATACACATCAAGCTTCTGGTTGCTGATCTCGGCCTCATTAGATGCTCATAGGCCTATCAATCAGCTGTCATGGCCTCACCCTGTGTTAGGAACTAATCATAGGCTTGATGACTGCAGTCCTCTCTGCCAGTATTAGGGCTTGATAGAGAGCTTGCAGGCTCTAGCCTATCAGAGTGTTCTACCTAGGGCCTAGATGCATGTCTAGACCTGCTAGTTAAGTGATTTTCAAAATCATTTCCTGTATTTGAAAGGGAGCTAGGCTCTGATGACAGCTCTAGTTAGGGACTCACTTAAGTAGTGTATAATCACTACATTAGGCTTGACTCTATATCATTAGAACCTTGACAGATGCACAGTAGAATAGTGAGATATTGACATCTCATACCAGCTCTGATAAGTGTTTACAGAATCTCACTTAACTAGTGACTTGGCTTGCAGTAGAGAGTTCTACCCTGCATCAAGCCTTACTAATTAGGCTCAGCCTCTATTACATGAGGGCTTTCATGAGTAAGAAGTGACAGGTGTCAGTGATGGGATTTGAACTCACACATCTCTAAGTCATGCAGTGTGAGAAAGCTGCAACTCTCAGTCACATGTACAGAGAATAAATCACTGCAGTAAGTGTATATGCATTGAAGTAATACTTTTTAATAACACTCAGTCTCTAATATGATGAAAATAGAGTCTCTCTGTGAGATTCATTTCTATCAGAAGTCAGAGAATCTTATATTTCTCAAGATTATCTTTATATATCTTATCTGTGAAATTAATGAAGAGAATCATCAATTTCAGCATTCTACTCTTGATATTATTCAAGTGATAGCAGAGTTCACTCTGATCACACTTTTTAAGTGTATGTTTTCTAATTATTCACATTTATATAGATATATACTGATTATTTATTAGATAATATTAAGATAATAACTTATTACAGCTATGTTATTCTCACTGTAAGAGATATATAATTGATAATGAATATTATAAAGACTCTGAGAAGTAAGTATTTTAAGAGTGCTATAACTCTGTAATCTTGATTTTTTTTATTTTTATTTTTTATTTTTTTCTTTTCTTTCTCTCTTTTTTTTTATTGTAATTTTTTCTGATTGTTTTGTTTTTTGTTTTTCTATTATTTTTTATATTTTATATATTTTTTTTTAATTAAAATGATATTAATTATAATCTATATTCAGAAAAGTAATAATATTTAATAACACTCTCTATTGAATTTTCAACAAATAAGTACTATTGTGATTCAAAGGTTGCTTAAGCCAGTGTATGATTACAGGTGTATGCTGGCTTCTTATATATTGAATCTTGTATGCTAAATTAATTAGTGATCACTAGAGCCCTCTTTACATTTGTATACTAGTAGTTCAGAAGTGACTGTGTTATTATTCAACAGTCATACATTCTTTCAAATCACATTCTCTCTCATCAGATTCAGTCACACTCACATGATCATATTATACACTCTAGCTTTATGTGAATTAGCTCATCACTAGTGTCTTGCAATTGTATAATCTATCTCTAATTTGACTAGCATTCTATGTACACTCTCACAAAGAAACTTTCACTATATTATATCACTCATTCACTAACTTTTCTCATTCTTCAATCATCATCTTTATCATCATCATCATTGAATGTTATTATCTTATTCAAGATTTCTACTTCTTCTATTTAACTCTTTTCATCTGTTCATCTATCATATTATACATGTTTCTGATGATGACTCTCTGTTCTCATAACAAGTGTTATCATAGTGCTCATACTGAGCAGTTCATTAGCAGTAAGTATAATGTATTGTGAAATGTACATGGCCAGGACTTGTTTATCTTCTAATGATTGCCAGAATGTACTATTATGAATGACATATCTTCTTCATCTTCTTATACACTCTCTTCATCTTCTTATACACTCTTGACTGTTTCTCTTCTCAGCGGGTTTCTGATTGTGTTTTCTGGCATGATTTTATATGAATGCAGATGCTGATATGTTTGTTTTTATTCATATAGAATCTTCATATGTTGACAGATCTGTGTCTGCTGATGATAGTGAACTCAATGTTGAATCATTGATCAAGAATCTGAAAAACATGATAATGAAGAAATTGTCTGTGTCATGTGTGACTGAGTCTCTTACATTTCTCTCTGCTCTTTCTATTTCTTTCTCTGCCACTCTCTCTCAATCTTCTACATCTGCCTCTGTATCTGATTCTCTCACTCTCACTATTTCTGTTTCTGTGACTCTCACTTCTGCTACTTCTGCCCTCTCTGGTTTTACTGTCTCTGCTTTTGTTATCAGCTCTCCCTGTTTCAAGAAGATGTTGTATAAACTTGATAAATCATGTTTCTCAGTATATACACTTTCACTCTTCTTACTGATCTCTAGAATAATCTATTATATGAAAACAGTGTATAATACAACTATCTGAAGCTTGATTATGAATACTGATTATTACATTCATTTTAAATATTTATAGTGAGATAATTGTCTGTTCATCTCAGAGAATCATCTTTCTTCTCAACAGTATTGAGATTATAAGTCTTTTTCTTTTTTCATCTTTTCTTTCTGATACTGATTTTTCTGTTCTTAGAGAAAATTATTATGAGTTTTACTGTGTATAAAGTCATGATGTTCACAGATATTAAGAAACTTTTTATAACTGTAAAGTTCAATATTACAGAGATATTCACTCTGATGAATTTCTTCAGAATGATAGATCTGTATCAGTCTATTCTCTGATATCTGTTATCTGACTTCATGATGCAGATGAAAGATATTCATGTTTTCAGAAACAGAAATATGAATGTTGTACTCTTTTACATCTGCAGATATGAGACTTGTACATCTTGTCTGAGATATTATCATGAAAATGAGCTGTTTGCATGCTGTATTCTACTTTCTGTATTCTTTCATGTCTCTCTCTCTCTTTCTGAGAAGTCTTGTATGTGTTGTAATTGTATGTACAACTCTAAGATCAGTGAGTGTTTATTCAGTAACTGTTCTCATCTCTGAGTTTGTAATTTTTGAACATTAACAATGATTCTTAGTTGCTTTGATATCAGAGATCATTCTAATTAAAGATGATAATATTGCTGAGACTACTTCTCTCTATTCTCAAGCTTCTTCTATTACTTTCTCTCTCTTCTCTGTGAGAAAGGTTATACACACACTGAGTCATAAGTATTCAGTACTGAGTGACTCTCACTGTTATTCATTCAGTTCTATGTCTTCTTCTTCTTCTATCTCTTTCATCTTCACTCTCTCTGCTCTGACTTCTGATTCTGCAGGTTCTGCACTCTTCTTCAATTTCTCTACATGTATGTGTATGCATTTCTATATTAGCATTCCAGTCAATCTTGTGATAAATGACATTAATGTTGTACACAGAGTGATAGAGGAATCAGAGATGTGTGTAATATTGTTATAAGAGTAGCTTGTGACTCTTGAATCTCTTACAGATCTCAAGTTTTGAGATTTTCTTTGTTTTTAATGTTTTTCAGGTGACATGGCATTGAAAATAGATTAAACATATAATATATGAAAATAAATGAGATATGTATGATAACATTTATCTTTTTATAACTGACTCTTATAATTGATGATCAATTCATTATTTCTTTTCTTTTCTTACACTTTTTTCTTTATCTGCTAGTCACTACTCTTACATAACCTCTATATAATACAGCATTCAGTGACTAGGTTCAGCAGCTTTCATCTTTGTAATTCTGTCTCATGCATTATACTGTCTCTCTTCATCTGCTCAGATCACTACAGTGAACAGCTCATTGAAACTAATCTTATCTAATCTCTGAGCATCTTCAGAGATTGAGATGACTTGATCTCACATGTCTGTGAATATTTCAGATAGTTCATCCTCTGTAATCTTCATAATTGAACTGATGTAAATAGTTGAATTCAACTCTGAATTTCTTTTTCTTCTGCAATCTGACTCATGTACAAGTCTACTACTCTGAGATCACTCTTTGTCATATTGCACTCACTGTCTGCAGTGTGTTATCATACAACTGACTACAGTTTTATCACTTATTAGAGTGTGATGTTCACCTGATTTCTTCATTACTTCTCATTCTTTTCTTATAATTATGAAAAGATTGAAATAAGTGAGATCTTCTGATTCATAAGTGTCTATGATTTCTCTTACTTCATAAGACTTTTCAATTGTAAGTCTCTTCTTTTTCAACACTGATAATAGTGCTGTAGATGATTATAATTTACTTAAGTCTTGTATCTTTGCTTTCATAAGTCATGAATCATTGATTAAGTTGTATAAGACTCATCTCTCTGATTCTTTCAATGTGTACATTCTCAGAGAATGTGATTTGAGTATTTTATATAACTCAAATCACCTAGATTGAAACTTCTCAGAACTCTCATTGTGTATGAGAACTCATGTTCTTATCTTGAGACTCAATTTCTTAACAAGTGAGTCTTGTATTCTTTTTAATTGAATTGCTCAGTTCAGAAGTAACTTATTAGCTTTTACATGTGTGTGACTGATCTCTTTCAATCTTGATTCTGTGTCTGTGACTGTTGTTTTCTTCCTCATCTTTTTCAAAGCATTCTCTGAAATGCGTGGATGCAATTCATACAACAGGTAGAATGATGAATGCTTAGAGACTGCATACTGTTGAATTCACATGGTCAATAGTGCCTGCCTGAGATATTCATCTTATAGTCTCATAGGCTTGCTCACTAGATATTTTGTCAGCATGTTGCTTAAGATTTCATTCAAGTGTTTCATCTTCTCATTTGTCTGTGAATGATATAGTGTTATTCTACAATGTCTTGTCTGTAACTGGCTTATAAAATGCCTCACTGCTTCTTCTACAAGGTTCACACTATTATCAGTTAGAATCTCATATAGTATTTCATAGTTGACATAGATCTCATTATGTAGAAACTTCATCATTATCTTCTCTGTCATTTCTGAAACTGCTTTCATGACTGACCAGTCAGTAGTGTAATCAATAGCAGTGATTATTCATCAATTTTCATTTAGTGTTTACAGTAATATGTCTATGAGGTTCATCTCTCATTGTTTAAACAGTTGTATTGTACACTTTATCTGATATTGCACTTTCTCATATTCTAATCCTTTCTTAGATTCTTTCATGACCTGATAATTCAGACACTTGTGAGTGTATGTCTGAATGTCCTCAGCCATGCTTGATCAGTATGCTCTTGATTTGAGTATGTTCATGAGTTCAGAGCTTTCTAAGTGACTGAATTTCTTGTGCATGCAAGCTACTAAGTCATGTCTAAATAAAGATTCTAGATAGAGAGCTTCTATATATTCTAGATTGTGATAAAGCATAACATTGTTTTCATTTCTCAATTTTTTCAGCTTGAAGTTCAGAAGCATCTCTTCTACTACTCTTATGAGATACTTGTCATTCAACATCTTATCATTCTTTAAGTGAGAGATCATGATGTTCACTCATTCTGTTTTCTTGCATCTTCTTAGTATGTTTAATATGAACATCTCTTGTATCTAATTCACAGAACTCTCACTCATGAAATTGAGTCTGTGACTGATTGCATCAGACATCACAGCATCTGATTTCTTTCAGTATTTAATATGAAGATTGTATACTTAGAACTCTGAGATTCAATGTACTAAGTGTTTGAAAGGTTTTATCATTGATTATAGATAGATAAGACTTTCATGATCTGTGATCATTATTGTTGTATGTCTGTTGTTAATATATCTATCTCACAACATCAGTGTGTGCTTAATTACTAGTAATTTCTTTTCATACACTGAGTAATTGAGCTTGATATCTGATAGTTTCCTATCATTGTACATCACTGAGTGCAGCTTGCTGTTCTTACTCATCTGTAGAAGAGTGTCTCTAATAGCTCATTCAAATGTATTCATCTCAATGTAGAAAGATTTATCACAATCTGATTGAATAAGTACTGAGAATGTTATTATATATTCTCTCAGTGTGAGAAAAGCCTCTTCATACACAGTATTTTAGATAATTGAATAAAACTTCTTCTTTCACAGATTTGTATTAATTTCTCTTAAGAGATCTGAGAGTGATGCAGATATTTGTATGAAATCCTTGATGAATCTGCAGTAGTATGAGACTAACTTAAGAAACTGTTGTACATGATATACATTTCTCAGCTATGACTAATTTACTATGATATTCAATTTCTCTGAAATAAGATATATACAGTCATCACTCACTACATGTTCTATGAATTTCAACTCTTTCATTTCAAACACACACTTGATTGATTTGATATAGAGCTTATACTCTGTCAGAGTTGTAAGCACTTCATTGAAATGCTTCAGATATTCATTGTATGAGTTTGAAAAGACTAGAATGTTATCAAGATATATGAGATATAAGATTTCATTCTGTTTATGAAGAATTGTATTCATCATTATTTAAAAGATGATGAGTGCATTTATCAGATCAAATGACATTGCCAGGAATTCAAACTTCTCTCATTGTGTATTAAATATGATTCATGAAACTGACAGTTTGTCTACACAGATCTGTCAGTATTCTGAGAGAAGATTGATCTTTGATAGATATCAGATGTTTTCAACTGTATTCAACTATTGTTGAATCTATGACAGTGAATATTTATTCTTGATCATAAGCTTATTAAGTGCTTGATAATTGATACACATCTGTCACTCTTCATCTGTCTTTTTCACAAATAGAACTGAAAAGCCTCACACACTTAATAAGAGTTGTATGAGATCACATTCTAGAAGATCTGTGATCTGATACTTCTGTTCTTTGAGATGCATTTGTGACAGAGAGTATGTATTCTGATTGACTGGTTTTGCATTCTCTGTGTCAATCTCATATATAAATTCTCATTCTGATAATAATTTCAGTGAAAGATCTGTTCAGAAGATCTTTTCATACTTCTTCAGAAGCTTCTTCATATACTTGTTCTTTCACATATCTTTTATCTTGAGTTTCTTCACTTCTGGGTCCTGTATGACATACAGAATGCTTTTGAATAAGATCTTGTAAATCATTCTCTTTACTTGTTAATGTGTAAGCAGATTTAATTCTTCTATATCAGAGATGTGAAATGTCCTTCTTATATCAGTTAATAGAATTATATGAACTGTTTTCTTTCTATCAGTTAACTGTATATAACATGTACATCATTGAATCTGCAGATTAAACCTTTGAAATCAATCAAGTCTGAGAATAAGGTTATATTTCATATTCTGCAGCTCTCACACTTAAATATAGCAAGATTATTCTCTGAAGTGCAAGGGAACTCTTACTTTTGCAGGTAATATCAAATATCAGTTATCAGATAATCTTATACATCAGAGATTCTTCACTCAGTGAACTTCTTTCAATCTTCAAATTATATAATCATTAATATATTACATCAAAGCTTCTGTGTCTGCTAACACTTTTACAGTTATCTCTTGATTCTTACTTAAGTGTCTCTTATACATTAACATTTCAGGTCTCAAGACATTGAGATGAGTGTTCACTTTATCATTCTTGCCTGCACTTCATTCAGAAGCCTGCTTCTTTTTTGCATTTGCAGAATTTAAAGAATCATCTAATACAGACATCTCTTTCACTTTGAAGACTTTTCATAGAATATCAGTGAGTGTCTCTGAGCTCATTGATTTTACTAGTTTTTTAACTCTCTTGCTTCTCTTAACTGTGCACACTGAGTGTAATCTTTTATATCATGATTTTAATATCTGCAGTTGAAGCAAGCTTGATGCTTATAATATCAAGATTTTCACTCAGAGAATTCCTTTTTCAGAGAATTCAGCACTTTAGTGATAGTATTCAGATCTAGATTCATTGCATCTGAGTGTATAACTTGTGTTATAGAAGTCTGATTATCTGTTCTTCACTGAGATATACTCAATTGCAGTATTTTCTATTGCAATTGACTCACTTATTTCTGTATGATGAGAATGTTATATACTTCTTTCACTATACCTGATTGTGAGATTAAGCATTTTTATTTCACTCTTAACTCAGATATAAGATCATGAATAAAGATCTGTAAACAGAATAATGTTAAAAGCTCTTCATTCAATATAAGATAGTGTAAACTGAAGTATGTGAAGTATGATGTAAGATCACTTACTTATCTACACTCAGTGAAGCATTTGTAACACTTATCTTATATATTCACT